CTTCCCGACGGAACAGGGCAGAGGTCGTGCACTCGGCCGGGCCGACTGGGCAGGAAGAAGAGCGCAGTTGAATGGAAGCTCCGCGCTCACCGGGGAGTCAGGGTCAGCAGCAAAGCCGATAATAACGCTCTAGCCCGGGACACTGGCTCTCCGGAGTGAGAGTGAAACTAGGTCAGTCACGCGCGCCCTCCCCCGCCCCCGCACGCGGCCGGTGCCAGTGGTCCAGCGCTCCCGCCGCTCGCGAGCGCTCGTCGATTCGGCGAGTCGTCGCGCCGCGTCCCCCGGCGAAAGCTCAGGGCCGCCGCGTACAGCGAAGGCTGCAGCTCGCGCGCCGGAGAGCACGTGCGTGCGATTATCGATCGGTGCACGGCGGAGCGCGACGCCAGCTCTCCCTCCCCGCTGGCGCGGCCCTCTTTCTTTCTCCGCGCGTCTTTCGGCCGCCGCTCGAGCGCCGCCCCTCCCGCTACCCCTCCCGCCGCCCCTCCCGCCGCCCCTCCCGCCGCCGCGCGGGCGGCAGCGCTGCCATTCCGCAGAGGCATCGCTGTAATCGCCGAGTGCGCCGGAAACGCACAGCCACTGCGCGCGCGCGCGAGATCTCGTCGGCTCGTGCGCTCTTCGGACCCGTCGGCGAACGGCCGCTCGCGAGTGCACGTGCTGCGAGCAGTCGTGTGCACGGCACTCTCCCATGCAATTGCGCAACGCTAGTTTTGCTGCCCGCATGCAGGTGAGCGGGAAGGTTGAGGTCTGTTCGCCGCCGAGCGCGAGTTAAGTGTCGAGGTCGCTCCCTCGCGCTTTCCCACACTCCGAGCGCGAGTGTGCGTGCACTCGCTATCTCGCTTACCAGGCAACTTCCTTTTCTTACTCCTGCGGATTCGCGCCACGATTGTGCGCGTTAGCATCGCGGCGCTGATCCCCCACCCCGTCCCCTCTCTCGCTCCGTCGCTCTGCCTGCGGGTAGGTGCGTCTGTTTGAAAATTTGCATGCCACGGCACGAGAGCCTGCGCGCCTGCGGAGATGGCGTTGCAGTGTCGGGGGATCGAGGTTGGCTTGTGCGTGCACGCGGGGATGGGTGGCGCACCTCTTCGTCTCATTTTTGGCTTTTCGCGCCACGGCGCACCGCGATTTCGCCGCGTGAGCGACGGCCAGGCTGCGAGGCCGTCGGGCACGCGAACCGGTTGCGGATCGCTGCGAATTTTCCAGAACCTCGTCTCGCACGCGCGCGGCGCATTTCTGGGAATGTTCAAAATTTACGGGCTCTAGCGCAGCTCGTAAAAGAACAAGTTTGGCGTGAGCGAGAAGCGCGAGCAACGTGACATTTGCGCCTGGCGATGGCTTACTCCCGCGCGCGTCCACAAAAGCGACACGTCTCGTAACTGCACGCGATACGAGCGCAGGTACACAGAGAGAAAAGCGAGCTTCGTGACTTCCGGCACAATATGAGAGAGATATTGCTGCTTCGCGCGGCGGCTGCCTCTTTTTCTGCGCCTCGCAACGATTATGCGGGAATGCTCGTGCGCGCGCGAGAAAGGGGGCGGGGGGTGTGTGGGGGGGGGGGGGGGAGGGGGGCGAGCGAGGAGTATCCAACGAGTGCGTGAAAATCGACGGCGCTGCGTGGGCCAAGCGGGACAACGATCCTTGCCAAGGATAGCCACCGGCGCTGCGACGCCTGCGACGCCTGCGACGCCTGTGACGCCTGCGACGCCTGCGACGCCTGCGACGCGATCGAAAGCTGAAACCGGATTTGGTGCGCGCAGAAGAACAGGCCAGCGCCACCTGTTGGAGAGGCAATGGCTCGAGGTTCGAGCGCTTGCCTGCGCCGAGCGACGGGAGATGGCGGCGCCTATAAAAATCCCTCTCGCTCGTCAAGGTGAAGCTTATCCGCGCGGCACGGAAACAGCCTCTTTGCCTTGATCGTGACGACTCGTGATTCGAGGAAGGTGCTATACGAGGCTGTCGCCCACCGCGTCGCCGTTCCGCCCTCGGCTTCTTCGCTTTTCGGAAGTGCACGCAATGTGCCCGCGCCGTCGGCGCAAGTGGGTCAAGCCGAGCTGATAAGCCGACTACTCCGCGTACGTACGTACGTACGTTCGCTCGATTACGAGGCGGCGACCTACATCAACTCTGTGCAGCTGTCGAGCGCACACCTACGCGCTACCCGCCGCAAATGCCGCGATCCGCAATGCTCTCCTCCCTTCCTTTCCTTTTCCCGTGCAGAGGCACTTGCGTGACTTTGGAAATTGGCTGCGGCTCCCTCCCTCCTCGGTAACCCTGACTCGCTTCTGCCATTTGATTTTTCCGTCGCACCAGCGCCGGCGTTGCCAACTTTCCTCGGTGCTTCCCTCGGAATCGCACACCCCCGGCAGCCGCGAGACGGGTACGGTCGCGGAAAACGAGCCAATGGAAGCGGATGCCGCTGCGCGAGTGAGTCGCATCCGTACGCCAGGCGATCCGTCGGAGCAGGGATGTGTCCGACGCCGCGTGTTCGCGTGTTCGTAGACCTACATTTCCACAACGCACGTGTAATTCGTTCGAGCAAGAAGAATAAGCCTGCCGGCGCGCAAATGTCCATTATTGCCAACTCATTCCTTTCACTTTTATTTGTAGATCGTTGCTGTCGCGGGGCTACGTGCTCGCCAGCGTTTATAATTCCTTTCGATCTGACTACTCCGCGAGAGACTACGCGCGCGCGCGCGCACAGATCAAGCTGCGCGATTACACTGTCCAAAGGCGAGCACTGGAAAAACTTGGGCGATAGACTGCCGAGGTTCCCTCGCTTTATTGCTCGACGATTCTTTCTTCCTTTCTTTTAGCCGCGTATTGTCTGGCTTTCGCTACGCTTCGCTCTCTCGATAAAGCCAAGCGCATTTTCTCGTCTATGCCGGCGGAGAAGATTGGATCGCCCAAATAAACTCGCAATCTTTCGAGTTTCGCTAGATCGAATAGTTTGACGATGTGCGTCCTTGCGAGCTCTGTGCGCATGCAGCAGCACATTCAAGACACGCATTGTCAAGTGGGTCGCAGCCAATCAATTGCGACACTTTCGCGCGCTAGTCCACGTACAGCTGTTCTGCGAAAAAAAAAGAAAGAGAGAGAGAAACAGGTCCTCGTACGCGCGTGGCTCTGGTGTACGCACAGGCATACATTTGGTACCCGCATTGTACACACACAGGTGCGCGCGGCGATTGCACACGCGCGGCGTGTACATGGATTTGCGAAACTTGCCGAGCGCTCTTTCGCGAGAAATGAAGTTTGCGCGCCTGTCAGAATGGCAGAACGGCAGAACGGCAGAACGGCAGAACGGCAGAACGGCAGAACGGCAGAACGGCAGAACGGCAGAACGGCGGAGGGTTACATCCACGCGGCGTATCTGCGGCGAGAGGCGGAGGAGAGCGAGGCACGGATGACGAAACGACACGCAGCAAGCGAGCCACATTTATCGAGCCGTGCGCGCGGAACGAGCCAAGAGCGGCGAGCGCACGAGAGCGCGAGAGCACGTCAGCAATTGGCACGCATGTATCCCTCGGAGAAAGATCGACGACTCTCTCCGGCCGGCTTCTCGCGATGTAAAACGCGCGCGCGGCCCGAGCGCTCTATGGCGCTCCTTAAGCGGAAAGTAGGCAAGGAGGCGAAAGAGAGCGTCGACGGTTTCCGCGTGCAATACCTGCATAAGCGCCGTGCGTGTAACCTTGCCGTCGACGTGTGCCGCGCCGCGCGCGTCGCCGTCCTGCGATCGACTTTCATTGTTCCTCTCTCCGCTTGCGTCGGAAAGTGCTCGCCGGCACTCTCGGTTTTCGCCGTCGCGCCTCGCAGCGAGATCTGCATGCCGCGCGCTGCGACGATGCGCGAGCTGCTCTTGGGAAATCTCGCGGCCGATGCCGAGGGGAGAGAGTGTGCATCGGCGCTGACGTCACGCGCCAGCGGCTCGTTCTGCTCTCTTTCCCAGCGACAACTGGGCCGCGAGACGAATCTCGAAAGCTGCCGCGACGCCGATCGGACGCCCGCTTCGCCTCGAACGCGCGCCGATGCAAGCTGCTGCTTCGGGCGAGCGGCCGGTCGGCAGGAGATCGGACGATAGCGCCGAGCCAATTCGCGGCGAGCGCGCGCCGGCCTGCGCCACTCGACAGCCAGAGGCAGAGCTCCGTTATAACGTCCTCGCGCTGCGAAAGTGAGAAGGGACGAGGCGCGCGCGCTCCTGGCCTCCCTCCCGGAAAATCCAAGTTTTCATCGATTCGCGCGTTATTTCCGCTGTCGAATATCGGCTTCTCGGCTGATTTTCTACCTCGATCCGTCGTCTTTCGCATGACATCGCAGGGGCTATCGGCAAAGACTTGCCCGGCGATCTCCATACGGAACTACAAAAATACTCTTCCCGAGCGACCTCGTTCATTAGAAAAGAGAAGAACGCGTCGTCCGGTAAGCGATTACCCGTGGCATCGTTGATTAGCCGACCAATCCGACAAGACGGGCCGCCTTTTCGAACGCTCGTTTCTCCGGGCAAGTGCGCACGTCAACCAATTTCGCTTTCACTATGATGGTGCCTACTTTGGGCTCTCAAAATGAGGCTCATTCGACGACTGGGACGATAGTATGACCGGCACTCAGCCGTTCGGGTCGCAAGCTGTGTGTAGCTGCCGTCACTAACCGTGCACCTTGGGATCGCAACTACATCGTTGTTATAGATACGAGAATTCGTTGACGCGGTTGCTCAGATCAGACGAAAGCCTGGTTTCTACAGGTCTAATCAGTCTCGACTGAGCGTATACGAGAAATGCGGAGTGACTTGGCTCGATTGCAACGACCACTGGATTCCGGCGCGAGGCACAACGAGGAAACTTTGCGTAAAAGGACTCGTTACGGTCAACGAGATTAATTGGCTTTCCGATAGCGCGGGTGCAAGAGAGAAGATTCGAGCTAGAAACTTTCTCGAGGAAATTTGGAGATCGAATATTGCGATCAGCCGCGTGCAGATAATCGAAGGAAAGAACGAGGAAGAAACTCACCAATTTTGCCGTTGGGACTGTAGGGATCGTAGCTGCCGGAGCTCATGGGGCTCGCGTAGCCATTATTACTGGATGGCTGTGTACCGATGACGCTCTGCTGCTGCTGCTGCTGCTGCTGCTGCTGCGGCTGCGGCTGTCCGATAGGCGTGGAATGCGCCATGGGCGGCTGCTGCTGCTGCTGCTGCTGTTGTTGCTGCTGCTGCTGCTGCTGCTGCTGCTGCTGTTGCTGCTGCTGCTGTTGCTGCGCCGGCAGGTACAGGTGCTGCTGCGGCAGAGGACCCTGCGGCGACTCGGGCGCTAGCCAGTCCTCCGTCCTGGGCCTCTTGGCCTGGCTGCTGGGCGCGATGCCGGCGAAGAGACCGCTGCCGTTGCCGGGCGGCCTCGCCGGCGCCGCGGCGGCGGTCGACGAGGTGCTCGACGAGGACGACGAGCCCGCCGGCGACGTCTGCTCGTTGTTGCTGCCCACCTCCGTCTTCACTTGTGTCTGCTGGTCCATGATCTGTTGCTGGTGCTGGTAGATCGCCGAGTGGTGGTTGTGATGGTGGTGGGGCTGATGCAAGTCGCTGCTGCTGCCGATTAGCCTGGACGCGGTCGCGGGGGCCAGCACGAGAGCTCCCGCCCCCACGACGCCCGACGCCTCATCGTAGCGCACCGCGACGCTGCCGCTCACTAGGCTGGCCACCGTGCCGCCCTGGGTGGGACCTCGCAACCCCTTCACTCGGCACCAGCCCGCGGATCCGAGCGCTGCGCAAGCTCCCGCGAGCCGCCTCTGCCCGTCGCTGGCTCCGCTGCCACTCTTCGCACTCGCGCACTCTCACTGACGCCTCCGCAGCTGCGCGTTCACGGGCGTCGGCTGACGAGCACGATCTGAAACAGACAAGCGAATCGGTGCTTCGTTAGTTGCTCTCGGCAAAGGCGCGGGCGGCCACTCGGCCGTTAGTACCGAGGCCGCGCGCGGCCACGTGCTTTTCCTTCCCCGCGAGCGACTTCATGCCGCGCGAGCAAAGGAAGGCTGGCCGGGGAACGAAAGACGCCGGTCGAGCGAGCGCGTCGACTCTGCGCTACTGTGCACGCGTGCAAATACAAAACGCCAAACGGAAAACGGCTCGACGATACGTTTGCCGGCGCGCAGTCGTGGACACACTACTTCTTGCCCCGGAGTACCTGCCTGGCTAACGGTACAGAAGCCGAAAAAGAGAACCGAGAGCCCCACTTCTCTTTTTTAATGCGGGGCCTACCGAATGTCAAATCGAGAGTCGTTGTTTACTCGGTTTCTCTTTGGGCACTGACTACACGCGCCGTTCTCCTTTCACGGTTCACGCTGCCCGATTCTCAGACTATACGTACGGACCAAACTCCACGTGGCTAACGGCACGTCAAGCCGAGGCCATAGTGCTCCGCTAGAATCTCTTGCGTTACGTCAATTTCTATTTGATTGAGTCACGTTGTTTTGAAGATTAGACGAGCGTACTTTTCGGCATTGTTTATCGAGGCAGGGAGAGAGAGCAAAGAAACCAACTTGAAACTTTCGTCTGTATCGTAGATTGGACACTTTTCGATGCTCGTAAATCGCTCTTGGACGCGGCTGCTGAGCAGACAAAAACATTTGCGGCAGTTGGAATTTATCGATAGAAACACGCTCGTGGAGCAAAGAAAGGACGCCGCCACAAGTCATGTGAGAATTGCGAGCAAGCCAGAAAGGCGCTAATTGACTATATTCAGAGCCTAATTGTGGTTTTTCGTGAGCGGCCGTTTCGCAATCGTCTCCTACACGGTCATATGCAAATGCCGTGGTATTATTGTTTTGGGTGATGCGACTACTTATTCGAGTATTCGTACGCGTGGGTTTCGTCATCGCGCGCGCGTGGAAACAAGCGATAGTTTCTTTTTCGCGAAAAGGCATGCAGACAGTGCCCGCTATCCGCAAGGAATGATTAAACGAGCAAGCTGGTACTTTTCAGCCAGCTGACGGAATATTTGTCGAGGGTTCGTTCGACGATTCGAGGAGAAGGAGAGGACCACCCGAGCATTTCCGTGTGGTCGTCGAGCGGTGTGCCATGATCGAAACGATTGAAATTTAGGAGCGACATGACAATCCCATTGTTTTCTCCCTGACGAACAGCAGGTGTTCCATTAAAGGGCATTACTTTTCATGACTAACACTCTACTCCATCAACTATGATTACATTTTGTAGTACGTACACTTTCGGCTTGTTTCTGTTCTTTCGAAAAAAAACTCTATTATATCGAGCACATAACTCTTCGCCTATCCAAAGAGAAAGAATTGTCGTTGTCGCGCACGAAAAAAAGAGTAGGAAGGCAGGTTCGTGACTCCGCAACAAACTCTCTGCGTGGCTCAATTGCGGCACCAGCTAGTAGTTGCGACAATCGATTTCACCCGCGCCGTTAAAGTAGTATAGCACTGCCTGGCGAAATAAACGAGCGAGACGAGCGCGACAGGTGTGTGCGTGTATGTACGAGCGTCGGTGAGCGGGTCGATGATTCACACGGCGCGTCCACGTGTGCGCGGCTAAACTTTGGGCGCGCGCAAAGTGGTTGCGCCGACGGCTTGACTCTGTGTGCGTTTATCGGTCATTGTCGTGCTGCCTCGTCGTGCGGCTGTGTGCTCGCGCGACGCGAGTATATGCCGATTGGCTTTGGTTTCGATCGGCGCTCCGACTCGCGCAGTACAACGATCATCCGCGCGCACGGCACTTACCGCGCGGCATCGATGATCGACGGATTCATCTCGAGCATTTTTCGCTGACGTTGACGTCCACGAAGTAGTCAAGGCCTCTCGTTTGTTAATCTAATCGGCCCTTCGTCGGAACTGCACGCCGTGGCGCGCCAAGCAGGCAATCGCGGGGCCTAATTCGAAGAGGACGACTCGCGCACGGATACTTACAGCGGCAACAACAATATCTATCAATCATGAGAGCCCCCAAGTTAAAGCGTTTCGCTCTTACGACTTGCGATAAACTTGCCTCGCTGCGCCCGCTTTCTTTGCGCAGCAGTGTTTCTCCGACAGCGAGCTACAGAGAAAAACGACGGGGTATACGCCGTGCAGTTGTGCAGTTGTGCAGTTGTGCTCGTGCGCGCGGCACACGCGTGCAGGAGAACGAGAGAAAGAGAGGGAGAGAAACTGCAGCACAGCGGAAGAAAGAGCAACGGCAACGTAACCCTGACCCAACCCACACTCGCTCGCACACATGACTTCAAACTCTAACTCTCTTTGCGCTCTTCGCGTCGTCTTCTTGTTGCATTGATCGCACGCCGCGCGCAAGTCTCTCTCGGTGCGTTAATTATGCGCGCTACTCGCTTCCGCCTGATTCCTCCGCGAGGGACTTACGAGCAGCTCCCTCCTTCTCCGTCGGACGTCTATGTTGTCGGAGCTTTTTATAGGCTGCTGCGCTCCTGCGTTTGTCCATCGATTAATCATTAATTCACTTTTTATTTCGGCTTGCGTCAATTCATTTCGTTCGTTTGCAATCACAAGAAAAGCACGAAAATTAACTTTCCCGGCATGCGCGCCAAAGTCCAACCGGCGCTTGCTCCTAATTCTTATCTCTGATTGGCTGTCAGTCGGTTTCACTGAGCAGTGCACGGATAGCTGCATCACAATTACAATCCTTTCACTGTTGCATCTCGGAACCCCGAACGGAAATTGGCTTGTCGCGACACTGGTATCCGGAGTCATCGTGAGGTCTGTATATCAGCCCCCCTCCCCCGGCCGGCTCCGCGAAATAACAAGAGAACAATCGTACCGAAATACATCTCGCGCGGATCTAAAATTAAACGGCTAATCGAGAACGAGGGATGTTTATCTTCGATCTAGTCTCTCGCAGGAAAGAAGATGCGTATGGGAGGTCTGTAGATGTCGATGTGGCCGTAAATAAACAATGGCTCGGTCGTACTCGAGCGAGCTAATCAATCCGCCGACGGGATATTCAACTCTGCGCCTGCATATACCGCGCGGCCGAAAATAAGCCGGCGAGGATCGACTGGTGCACGCCGCCAATCAAGTGCGAAGAACGCCGCTGGCAAGCCGCGCGAAAGCTCCGAAGCTCCGAGCTTCGCAGCGAGAGCACGGCGCGGCAATCGACGAGGGGCGCGATCGGAGGCTTATCGCGCGCGTTGGACGGCATCGATGGCATCGCGGGCTGCACGCGGGCTACGGAAGAGCGCAGGTTGGTAGCAGTGTGCTCGGCGCGGTGCACGGAGGATCGATCCGATGGCCTAGTTAAAGCTCGCGCCCGTGGCTGGCGCCGCGCCGGCGAAAGCTCCGCGTGCGCGCGCGTCGCGTTGGCAGCACTGCTCTCTCGCGAACGTCCTGCCGCCGCACGACTGGCTGCTCGTGGCATAGCCGCGCCGCAGCGGCGCGCCGGGATAGCGAACCCTGGAGCGAGGCCAGGCATTGACCTAGATGCACTCTACGCATTCTCTCGCTGACCTGTGCGCCTGCGATTCTGACCTTCTCCCTCTCGCTCTCGCACGCGCCAGTCGCGCCAGTCGCGCCAAGCCGCTCGCTCTTCCCGTCGGGCGCGCTTGCACTTTGCGCCCATCTGCGCATCGCTATATTTATTGATCGTCGCACTGCGCGAAAAGCACGTCCCTTCGGAGCGCGCCTCGGCGCGTGTCGCCTCGCGCGCTGCCCGAATAATTGATGCGCGATAGATGCGCGCCGCGGCCGAATAGACGCGCGGCGGACGCGCACCGCGCGATGGCGCGACGAGCCCGCGTCGCTTCTCTCCTGCTCTCCGCCGCCGAAACCGGGACAACGCGAGTTTCATTGAGCGGCGCCGTAACTCTTTCCGTTACGCGCGTCCACTTTGCCTGCACCGCGCGTTCCCATCGCCGCGCTCGCGAAACAGGCTGTCTCTTCGCCTCTTCGCCTCTTCGGACTGGTTGGCACCAAACCAGTTTCCTCTTCTGGCTCGTACCTCCCGCGACTGCACCGCGCTCTCGGCTGCCCGCGGCACGGGGAGCAAAAAAGCTCTCTCTGTCCCGCCCTTTTCGCTTTCGCGCGCGCCGTATTGATCGACCCTGGATCCAGTTTCGCGGCGCTCTCGTGGCCGAGACTTTGCCGCCGCGCGACAGACGTTATTCTCGCGGCAGCTGGCCACTGACCGGCTCGTCGTTTCGCAGTCCGCCCAAGCCTCTCTCTCGCTCGGTCTTGTACGGCTACGTCTGATTCCCCTTTCGCGAAGATTACGACAGTCGCGAGGCTTCCCAATCTTGCTCGATCCGCTGCTCGAAGAATCTGAGAATCTCGCGACAAGGCGCGTGCACGAGAGCACGAAAAGAGGCAAACACGGCGCGGCGACGACGTCGACCTTGCCTGCAGTGAAAATCGATAGCGCGCGGGTGAGAGAGTCAAGAAGGCCCGAGGGCGAGAGGGCGGGAGAGAGCGAGCGGCAGCGGCAGCTAGACGCGCCCGTGTTTACGCGTCCGACTGGCGGCGCGCGCTGCAATGGTGGGGGTGGTCGCTGCCAGTCGCGCGCGATCGATTCGCTGCCAGCGTTTCGCTGCAGCGCACATGCGCGCCTGCCCCCGCGGGGCCAAAGTGGAGCGAAGCCACAGCCAGCCGAGCGGCGCCCGAGGAAGCGCGCGCCCCGTCCATTGAGCCTGCTGCTCGCGCCGATGCCCGCGCCACGGCGACCGGCAGCCGGCGAACGAACGGACGCGCGACCTAGTTCGCACCGCGAGGCAGGGCCCGCAGCTCGGCAGGGCGCCCGGGCGCCCGGGCCGAGGGTGACGGGCCAGCGACCTTGCGCGCGGACGCGCAGGCGACCGATCGGCGGCGAGTCGGCGTTATCGCTTTATCGCGCCCCGTTCGCGCGGCGGACCGGTGCTCTGCTCTATCTCGGCGGCGAACTGCCGATCGATCCGCCGCGCGCACTATCTCCGCACGGGAGCCGCGATCAAGCGGAGAACTCGTCGCGGACCGATCTGCGTACTCGGGGGCTGAGCGACTCGCCGTGCACGCGCGCTCACCGGAGCGAAGGCCGATCGTCGCCGACCGAGCGGACGCGCGGCGTCGAGTTGGCCGCCCTTGCGTCGCAACCCTGCAGCGGCGGCGGTGGCGGCGGCGGCACGCGCGCGCGCGCACGCGTTCGCGGCAGCAGCAGCCTCGAGCCGGGGCTAAAAATAGCGGCGCCTGCGCGAGCGGAGACGTTCAAGAGCGACGACTCGAGAGCCCCTGCAAAGGTGCATCGCTCGCGCGCTGCACTGCGTAGCCTACTTGGCGAATCAGTGTAATCCGATCATCCAACGCGTCTCTCCTACTCCTGCTTTCTTCTTTTTTTAGCTTCGCGCGGGCTCTGTCGTTAGGCGGCCCCCTCCGCCGCTTCTTCTGGTCAGTCGCCCGCGCGGTCCGCCAGCCAACCTCTGTGCAACCAGTGCAATCGGCACTCCTCGCACTTTCGCGTAAGCATTTTTCATCGCGAGCGGGAGATGCTCTAGACAAATGCAAATCGAGGACTGGCGCGCGCGGGAATCGCTGGAAGGCGTCCGAAGCGCAGCACGTCGGCCGAGGACCCGAGGACCCGAGGACCCGTGGAGGTAGAGGTGATACGGCGATAGAGAAATAAGCTGTATATAAATGAGCGAGCAGCGCGTCAACCTCGTTACAGTCCGGCCGAGCGCTGTGTCGTCAGGATACGGAGAGCGAGAGAGAGAAAATCGAGCGATCAAGTATGCATGACATGCGGGCCGTCTGCCCGGGCCGTGTCCGCACGCCACTCTCCTCTCCGGCAAGACAGATTATGCTCGAGCGAGCGCGAGCGCAAGCGAAAGCGCCGCATCATCGCGAGCGTCCGGCTGCCGGTGGCCGCGCCTGTGGAACCCATAGGTATGTGCGCACGTGCTTCCTTCGGCGAAAACCAAGCGAAAACACATTTGTACGCGCATACGAAACGATAAGCGAGTCGTCAGACTGCGCTCCGATAAGAAAACCAGGCGCAAGGTCAAGTGTGCGCGTGTGCGTGGCTGCCGATTGATTTGGGCGAGGTCGAAAACTTTTATGACGCTGCTGCAGGAGTGTTCCGTTCGATGGCCATGATGCGCTCAGATTATCGCTGTTTTTTGCTCGAACTTGAAAAACGCCTATCGTTATCGATCCTTCCAGAACAATCAATTGCATTTTGCCTGAGCACGCGGCGATCGGCCAATGCTATCGTTTTTCCGACTGTTTTCTCAAGATACGCGCGAGAATGGAAAATTTTTTTATTATCCCGGATTGTTTATTCGCTCGGTTTATCTACTTCGGAGCTTAGCGAAGTCATGTTCGTGTAATGTAGATAAGGTAAAGGTTACACCGACCACGCTGCGTCTGCTTGTTGTTTTAGTACGAGCGCAAGCCGAGTCCTCGTTAATGCCAATGAACGAAAGAACGAGCCACGGAAGCATCGATAGGTGCCCGAAGAGCAAGCCTCGCGAATGGCTGTAGCGAGACTCGCGTCGTCGAGCAAACTTATTTTCTCGAGCCCTTCTTGCCACGACGAAACATCTAGTCTTTTATTGCCGCGCGAGCGTACGTAGAATGCAGTTTCATGCTTATGCTCCTTCTTGTTTTCCTCGATTCCCTGATTCTCGATTACGAATGTACTCGCGCGCAACGATTCCACTGCGTTTCCATGACTTTTCCACCGCCAAAGTTTTCTTGCGCTGCGCTTTTCTTCCCGTTGCCAATGAGAAGTCTCGATCGACTGAATATTCATGGTAGCGATCGAAACACGCGTGCAAACGCTGGTTTTACTCGACCTCATTGGCGGCTTCCACCAAACCCATTAATTCAAGTCGGAACTGCTCTTCTTGCAGTCATTTCACTTGGGCTCGATCGACTCGACGAGCATTACGAGTCAAAGAAAATTTGCTTATACTTAGCCGCAAAGAAGTTTCAATCGTAAATTTTCCCATAGGTATCGATTGAAGATCACGTGGGCAAACAATCGCGCACGCGACTTTGCCCGTACATCATAGCTGCCTGAGGCTTTACGACAATGGAGAGCTCATTAATAGATTGATTGATGATATTGCGGCACACAAGTGTACTGCACGATGACTCTTATCAAGTGGACGACCTATTTATAATTGCGAACAAGTGTGCGTACGTTAATCTTCTTGGGGAGCGTCTAAGAACGATGATTTTTTGAAAAGCTTTCAGAATGCTTCGTTGAATAATCGAGCAGATAACAATAGTGATTATAACGGTGCGACGCGACTTCGGTGTCCACGACAAGCAAACGGAAACGTGATCAATGAAACCACGCTGAGCCGACAGTGTTTATGTAAACACAGGTCGCCGGCACCGTAAATTCATTGATAAACCTTGAGGTTACTCATAAAACGAGCGCTAACCTCTTCTTTTTTTATCCAACGCGCGAGTACGCGGCCTAAAAGTACACGGAGATGATTTTGTAGTAGCGCTATCACGAGCAAAGTCGTCCAAGACAAAAAAAGGAAAGAAAGTAAGCTGGAAATATAGACTGGCTTGAATAATAGAGACCGCGGTCTATTTATGCTACGAAATCAATACACCGACCTCCTCCTCCTCCTCCTCCTACTCTCTCCAACCGTTACCAGTAGCTGCCGCGTGTATAACATAACTAATGCACTGCTGCTTCGCCAGGTTACATCCATAGAGAAATAAAGTGCAAATTTATCTCGTATGCGTACAAAGTTTCTCCCGTCGCGTTGGTATTATGCTTATTTTTTATTATGGCCGTCGTTGGAAAGTTGCTTTTTCGTCGCAGCAATTTTTCAATGAAACTCAGCCGTCCCGTTCGACGCACATCTGATAGCTTATCTCGTTATCAGCCAAAAGAACTGATCAGGCGAAGAAGAGCGTGACTTCTCGGAATAGCACTCGGAATTTCATTAGTCAACTTTGAGAGGGAAAACTGCCACTGCCCTGTCGCTTTGATTCCGACATCTCTGCTCTCCAGTGAAAACGCCTTTCTAAGAATCGCGTGAAAAGCCAACGACAAATCACTTGCCGAAAAAAACAAGCGAATTTCAGCGGGACGATAATTGACGGGAGTGCGTGGAAATAAAAAAGCGACGATTGAACAAATTCCAGCCAATGAGAAAGGAAGAAAGAGTGGAACGCGCAAGAGGAGAGAAAAACGCGCCTTTACAACTTTGTTTACACTGCTCTGTGCGCAACGTCGGGCACAAAAACACAACCCCACGACTTGTCTCAACAGTGGCCAAGTACTTTATTAAAGCGGTAGACACGCGGAGTAGAGAGGCGAAAGTCAAGAAAAAGTCAAAGGGAGAGAGAATGCACGTACACACTGAGTGTGGGGCAGGTCGTCGTCGATATAAATCAGCTCCTACGGCTGTCGGTGCGCGCGTGTGTGCTCCAGGCGTAATTACGCGCCAGCGGAAATAGACTTGGCGAAAAAAAAGAAAAGGCCTCGTAAATCGCTCCCTTTCCTGCCTCGCGCAGAACGTTTTAACATTTTCGCATTTTCGTCAAAAGTTGTCCGACGGAGAGTTTGAGCTCGGGCCCAAAAGACAACGTCGGTGGTACTTTGCTCAACTTTGTTACATATACGAGCCGCGTAGAGACGTTAGTCTGGAAAGGGGGAGCTGGTTTTCCGCCTGTGCAAGGTGAGCCTTCTCTTCACTCGATTGACGCGAAACGCGAAGAGCGAATCTCACCGAAGGAAGAGTGCTTCAGATAACGAAAGAACGAAGTTTATTCAGCAAGAAGAAATGTCAGCAAAGTCGTCCAAGAAACGCGATCCGCGCGGTTGATTCACTGCGCACTCCGAGTATAAACTTGTAAAAGTGACCAGTGAACCCTTTCCTGGCTCCGTGCTGCGAGTCTTGCCGCGCCGTATCGCGCGGCAACGTGGAAAAATTTCAAACAAAAATAAGCAAGCATAAAACTTGCTGTGAGCGGAGAGAAGAACGAGGAAAAAATGAGAGGGAAAAGCCGCTGTTTGAACTCAGCTAGACTGGTTTCGGTCGAAAAGTGCAGCGTCGGCGCGTCCATTCCCACGGCTTTGCAAAATGCATCATGCCCGTACAACAAACGCTGTCAATTATCGTGGATGAGCATGGGCAGAGAGCGGCAGCGGCAAGACGGTTCTCGGGAGAAAACAGCGTCGCCGGCAGCCTGGCGGCCAGAGCGCGGTAGCAGCGGCGACGCCAGAGATAGGCATTTGCAATTGCCGGTGCAGGCGGAGTGCAGGCAAAGTGCAGGTAGAGTGCAGGCCGCGCGAGGAGAAGGCTGACGAGGTACCGGCTCGGCGCGGAAAGTTGAGCGACGGCGATGGGTATCGCTCCAGACGCGATGAGCGCGCGCTAGCCTCTCTCGACCGAACGCGCCCGAGCTTTGCCACGGCACAGCTTACATTGGCCATTTTAAAAGAGTCTCACCTTGCAGCTTCTCCAAGCTTGCGTACGGCGTAACGCGCGCGCACATCTAGTTACGTACAGCTTCGCTTAAGCTTCCTTCCCTCTCTCTCTCTCTCTCTCTCTCTCTCGTCGTTCGATATATCATAAATATATAGATTCCTTTGTTGTTGTTGCAGGTACACACACACACACACACATATATATATATATATATATATCTGATTGCTGAGACGAGGATGCGATATATACTTTGTTATAGAGATATACTTGTTGTCAATTACATGGCTCTTCCGCTGCTGCTATATATGGATGCACCTTGGGGGAGGATGGGTTTTGTAAAGCTTATAGGCACTATTGCGCTGCGAATAATTGTAGGTCAGTTTTGAAGGTACTTGTAGGTTTGTCGCTCGAGGTATCGAGGTATTTATTCGGCTTTCCGAAGCTTCAGCTGCCGCTGTGTCTCTGTTGTGGTGCAAGTGCCGCGCTTCCAAAGCCACTTCTTAAATCTATATTTCTAGAGGCTCTTTGTCCGACCTTTCTCTTTGCGTCTTGGCGCGTCGTCTGTCGTGGCCCTTTTTTGGTTTATTTCACGAGGCTCCCTGCACGACTCTCTGCTGGTCAGAATAGCTGTTTATCACCTGATCTCGTCTCGCCGCTTAGCCACATCGCACTGAGGTAGAGCGTTTGACTTTATACAGTACTTTACATACACCATCTGCAACAGACGTGAAAAAACAGCTTTCAATCACACGGCTTTTCAATCGAGTCTCAAGATAGTTCTACGCTACGACGCTTCCGAGTAAGTGCACGACCAAATTCTCGCGTCAAAGACAACTCGTTGCCTAGTTCTTGTTGTTACTGCTGTTCTTCTCGTCTCTTCCTCCTCTCTCGATAAGAAGAGGAAATTCATAGATATTTTCATCTCGTTGAGGAAGAGATCACAACCAAGTGTATACTCGACAACGATTTGCCTGGAAATAAGGGAAAGTTGACAACCAGACGACTGAATGCAGCTCGGAGAGAACTGCCAGCAACAAACTATCTAAACAATCATTTTCTCCGAGACAAAGGCAATTAGAAACCGCACGGATTTTTCCTCAAAAACCACGGAAATTCATTATTGAAACTAGTGCTCTCGTCGCGCAGCATTCATTCGGATAGCAATAAATCCATAGACAGGAATCTGGGTCTTTCTGATAAACAGACTGCCCCCTCCCCCCGTCACTCTCTCTCCCTCGCGCGCGCGAACGATAAATCCGATCGAATGATCCAGTTTTCTTTTGCCGACTTTAGCTGTTGCACAGGTTCGCGGACACGATTTTGCTCTGTGTATCTTAAGGTTTCTCAGCTCTCACCATTTGTACAAATCCACGGTCATGATTAAAGTTTCGTACAGCATATCGTATTGGCAATTCGTTCAACATTCTGACTTGGTTGGAACTTACAACGATGCCAATTTTTTCTCCGAAACTAAAGATTATTGACAGAACAATTTATCGCGCGTTCAAATTGCTCTTACGTACCAAACAAGCTGCATACTTCGCTTAATTTCTATTCAATCAAATACATTTTTCTCCAAATGAGAAATGTTGTTCTTCGATTTAGAATTTTCGTTTGAAAAATCATTGCAAGCTCACGTCTATCCGTAAATAGCACCTTTTCAAAAACAATTAAAAGAATTATTCTCAACCAACAATGACATATGATTGAACGTCGGTCACGCTGATAGCAGTGTATCAAAATAACAAAAAAATAAAAGAAATTCTCAGCAGAAAAAGAAGAGAGAAAGAAAGAAGATAGATAGAGCGAGGGAACGTGGCATTCAAAATTCCATAGGCCCTGAGCGAAGAGAGAGTCTCGGCTTTAAAACGTAGCGGGACATGTATTTTTAATTTCCACCTTGCGAACTAGCGTACACATGCTCATACACTGTTGGACTCTGTGTGTGTGTGTGTGTCTCTCTCTCTCTCTCTCTCTCTCTCTCTCTCTTTCTCGGTCTGGCAGTTCCCCTGCTTCTTTCCTTCAGGTACACACACACACGCGCACGCACGCGCGCGCGCGCACACTAACACACGGGCACGCGTACGACTGACTTCCCACGGCTAATGCGTGTCACGAAGGGCATACACGCAGACGTACACGCACACGTAGACGCACACCAGTGAAACCCTTTACAGCCGTGCGCAGTCTCGCGTGCACGACGAGCGAGCAACGAAGAGCGAAGGGAGAGCAGCGCCAACAGCCCAGACCTACGCCAACGTGTGTGCAGCATAAGTATATTACGAGAGTGGCGCGTGCGCGAGAAAAGAAAGTCAGCTTGACGACATCCCAAGGCAATTCCAAGCACTATCGCCGTACACCACGATTACCAAACCCAAGCGTGCTTCTTCCCTCCTTTTATCTGTCGCGATATCGGCGCAGAGCAAATAAGCTAGAACCGTCCAAAACTATTTGACGTTTAATCGAGGAGAGGCGCGTTTTCAAGCTCTCGTAACCTTGCTCGCGCTGTGTTTATCGCGCTCCAACGCCCGCATTATGTCAATGCCCGACGACCACGGCGACGGCGCCAAGCCACGGACTATGGTGCGCGCACGCGTGTGTGTACGAACTTTTACCACACCTCCTTCCACCTACTTATTGCATTCTCGCCTTTATTAAAACACATTTTGCAGATACTTGAGCGACGCACGCCATTCAGGTGCGGCCAGCCAACGAATGGAGTTTCATTAAAGAAAGTGCATGATTTTCAAGAGCTTCGTACGTAATCGTCGAGCAATGAAAAAGCGTATTGTACGCATGAAGCTCGTATTCCTTCTTGGTTTTATAAGCTCTCTTGAGCCCGCAAATCGCATTAGCAATTATCCGTCCTATTTATCATTTGCAAGCGAGCGCACACACGCCGACTTTTACACTCTGACGAACGAAATAATAAATAATGCATACGCAAAACTGCGCAACTCGGCGCACGCACGCGCGCGCGCGCGAGAGAGAGAGAGAGAGAGAGAGAGAGAGAGAGAGAGAGGGAATAAAAGAAGAATAAATGCCTGGCTGGTTAGTAAAAGGCTGCAATTAAATACATATGCGGCGTCCGAACTCAATGCAAGGCATATAGGAGAACTGGTTCACATAGCCCGCAAGCTATATAGTCTTATCGTCGTCGCACGTACACAGGTGTGCTTCTTTTTCCATACGTGTACAACCCTTGCGGCTGATTTTTTCTCTTGCTCGTGCATATGTCCTCTCTGCCGTACGTAATTGCGGCTTCCAACAAATTTTTATGCGTAAAAAGAAGTTGAAAAGCCGTTGTCGAACGAGATGCAAAGTACTGTTATACTTCCGGACAGATGCTGAAAACGTGTCTCGGACGCAAACTGCGCAGGAGGATGCGGAGCGCCTATTGTTTTTGGAAGCGAACCCTCGATTTCTTTCTTTTTCGACGGGTCTCCGACCAAGAAGAATGACTTTAATTTCGTTTCGCTACTATTTCGTCGGCATCATCGTGGGAAACTTGCAGTTATTGTTCCGCCATTGCAGACTAATGTTCCGATGTTCGACCATGGATGTGTGTGTGTGTGTCATAAGAAACGATTGAATTCTCTACAGATATAGAAGAAATATATAGTATGCAATGGAGGTAAACTGTCTGTTTAGCTTGATGACGAGTAAACGAATTCAATAAGGAATGAACGTGTACGCAGTTAAAAATAGTAACAGCATGGAATCGAACGACGCATTTGATTGGCAGCTGTGCTGTTTTCGGCGGAATAATATTTCGGCGGATTCGCTCGAATAAAAAAAAAAAGACTTGAAATAAGCGGCAGAAAGAGATCTAATAACCTATATCGAGTTTTTCCACGAGAGATAAGAGCCTCCTCCTTCTCGTCGATGCTGCTTAGATACACGTACGCTAACCTTGTTCAAGTTTTTCTCTGTCGCTGCTGCTCTGCGTTGAATAAAAATAAACAGCAATTGCTATCGTTCCACGCTGCAGATAACGCGCTTAATATGCGATTCTCGTATATTGCCTCACGTTCATGAGAGAGAGAGAGAGAGAGAGAGAGAGAGGACATTTGAATTGCAAGCGCGACTCTCCTCTTTTTTCGCAACACCAATGCATATATATTTCGTGTGATATTCTCGCTCTATAAAGTACAAAGTGCTTTTTCGCGCGCGCGAGGTTGAACACTTCCAACTTTTTTGCCGACTTGCAACGGATTGTTTTTCTCTCGTTAGTCGTTCATATCCAAGATCTTGTAATTAGCACTTTATCGGTTTATGTATAGTTGCCGTTTATATATAAACAGATTTGTTGAATGTTTACGTGGCTCTGTGACTACTTGTATATAAGGTGCAGCTTTTAATCGACTCAATGTTTTTTTCCTTGTTGCGGGCTTTTTAGTCAGTGTATAACGTTAATGGAGTCGATTAAAGTCAACGCGTTGCATTTTATTAACCCATTTTGATATCACGACGTATTCCAATTTTACGTAATCACAGTCTCTCTTTTACAATCTCGTGTCTAGATCTCGTTTATACATGAATGTTTACCTACCGATATATCATTGATTTTTTTCACGAAGGTTGGTCGTTCAACTTTTCCTCCTAGTTATTCGAATGAGTTTCAAGTTCGGTCTATGAAATATCCGCTTTCGCGCGAGTATGACGAGCACGTAAATCTGAAAACGAATCAGCTTTCCATCGCACGCCGGCAGGCCGACAAGTTTTGTAGAAAATCGACGATGACGATGGTGATGCTGCGTTCTGACAGTGCAGACGTCAGCTGATTCGGAGCAAAGCGAAGAAGGAGGAGTCGGATCGTAATTCAATACCGTAATGACTGAACTTGAGCCAGTTGCACCGAGCGACCTTGTTCAGCAATACATCAGCCTGTACCTTGATTCGCACACGATGTGGAGTGAAGTGACGATGATCGATTCTTCTCGGATGTCCACACGAGCCACCGCCTTGCGTAGTCCTCCCCTCTTTCGAAAACATCCAGCCAGAAGCTACGACGACCAACACTGACCTACAGCAATAAAAGCGAGTGGAATGACGGTGCGACGGCACAGCTACTTCCGTTGAATGACCCCAGCCCTCCTCCCCGGATGAATATTTACGCGATTACTGACCCAAAGCCGCACCAACTCGCAGCCTGTGTGTACGTTTGTTCGCGCATGCCAATGCGCCATGTTTTTTTGTTATTCAACCGATTCTGCCGAGGCCTTACGCAACGATCCTCGCAGCCAGGTTTTTGCGTGAAAAGGAAAATTTTCTTAAAACTAATCATGGCAGGCGCTCATTGCAAGCTGCCCATTGACCGATCGTCAACGAATATTCCCTTTCGATCGTTCGTCATTGAGCACACACGGCAATCGAAAGACCAACAAAAAGCCAGCAGCAGACCGCCAGCTGGGGCATCCACAAATCAACAATTTCGTTCATTGTTGCGCGCTAGACTTTGAAAAAGCAGCCTAGCAATTAAGCATCTGCTGGAAGCTCGTACGCAGCTTGCCGATGCTCGTATCGATGCCAAAACGCATAGTGCTCCTTGAATAATGCATCGGATTCGTTGTGTGCGATTCGAAAAATATAGGTACAGACAAAGCTGCGATCGTAAAAATCTTTGCGCTTGGCCTTTGAGAAAGACGAGCCTCGTAGCTTCTCACTGCAAGATTTTTTCTCGAAATCGCAAACGGATCCCTCGAGAGTACTATC